CACAACACCGGACAGATCAAGCAACGAAGAAAAACTCAAATTGTAGCAGCAAACATGTAAGGAAACGCACAAGCAGCTTGACATACACATGTGAACTCATAGACACATGGCTTGTCCCGAAGTCTTGCATACGCGATGACTTCGTGGGCAAATCACACACACACAAACAACACGTGTACTTCACATATCTGTACATATTTGCACTTTATGTGCAAACATATATATTCAGATACATTGTACATACATACATACATACATACATACATACATACATACATACATATATATATATACACATGTAAACAAATAAATAAAATAAATAAATAGATATATATATATATACATATATATATATATATATTGTGAGTGTGAATGTGTGCGCTTGAGTGTTTAGTCGTATATCGATTTACAGTTTTTTTACTGGCAGGTGCGCTTCCCGGTACATACCTGCACACATGCATAGGTGCATGTGCACATACATGCTTGCAGCCTATGTGTTCAGGCCCAGCAAGCAGGATGAGTGCTGGACGTCGGTTCAAGCATCGTGTGTTTGTTTATCCGCAGCACGAATTGTCTCTGTGTGTGTGTGTGTGTTGGTGGTCTCAAGGATTTTAGCACAGTTGGAAGCTGAAGCACCCCATAAACTGTGTCTCTCCAGAGTGGTATCAAGGTACATCAAAGCGATTCGGTTTCAGACTGCATTCTGGGAAAGCACCAAACATAATCCGGAGGCTTCCCTGCATGTTGCACCGCGACCGTTTACTGTTCTTACTACCATTCTTGTTGTTATGAGTATCAACCGTAAGACTACTAATACGAATGATAGTGATGATAATATTATTCATAGAAACCACAATAGCCATAACAATGATAACAATACTTATAGAAACAGTTGCAGTCATACTAATACCGATAATTACAGCAATACTAATGTTGATATACCAGCCGACCGGATCTTCAGCGTTGGAGCCTCCCCGAATAATCCAGACGCACACCAGAAAAATCCTTAAACACCTCAAACCTGGAAGTTTCTGCGCAAGGCCGGAGATAGTTCCTTGGAAGCAGATGGAGCTTTCGCTTGATCACATCGACGGGTCGGCTTTAGCCTGGCTTTGCAAATATGGCAAGCCTGTGAGTTTGTAGGTATGAATCCGGTTTAGGGTTTAGGGTTTAGGGTTGGTATGAACCACAATGTGCTGGTAAGCAGGTGAGTCTTGGGTTCGGCAGGTGATTGAAAGTTGCCAGTTGCATCATGCTCCCGAGTTCCGGTGTTTTCATGGCTTGCGAAGAAACACACGGGGTCCGAACTCATGTAGCAGCTACACGCTGGATGCCCACCCACAGCTGCTCAACACAGTGGCTTTCGGAGACATTGCAGACGAATATAGAGGCCTGACAACGAGGTAGATGTGAACAGGGGCAGACAGGGCAGGGTTCAGAAATTTGGGCTTTAGGGTTTACGGGTCGCAGTAGCCCGTAAACCCTAAACCCCTAAACCCTAAACCCTAAACCCTCGTACCCTAAACCCTAAACCCTACAGTAGAGCTGTAACTCAGGTTTGAACATCGAGATGATGGGCTGGGAGACGACTGCCGGGCGAATCCAGGGCTTGTCCCGGCCTCAGATCTTAGGGTTTAGGGTTTAGGGTTTATTCTGTTCTATTCGAGTCTAGTCGAGTCTAGTCTCGCAGAGTCTATTCGATTCGAGTCTATTCTATTCTATCTGACACTGTCTGATGTTCTGTTAATGTTATGTTACACTGTATTGGTATGTTATATATTTTTATGGTATATTCTGTACTCTATGTTCTATATTCTATACTCTATGTTCTAGAGTCATTCCTTGGCATAGAACACCACCAACGTTACACGAGATCATTGTTTGCTACTAGATAAGTTGTAAGACTAGCAAATTCAGTCCGAGGATGTCCGTCGAAACCGTGCTTTCGTCGTACGAAAGCCTCGATATCCGAAAGCGCCGGATAGGTGAGTGTTTTTCGCATCGGCCTGTCTCAGGGATATCGTGCGCATCTTCCTGTGGCCCCTGACGCAGCTGCCTCCTCAGCCGTCTGCTATAGTGATTGTCAGAGTTCAGTGTTTGGGAATTATCATACAATATAGTATATCATAATATACTATCACACAATATATAAGTATAATATGTATATATATATATATATATTATCATACAATATATTACAACAAAATATAATATAATATAACAGCAAGCTTAAAGCCAGACTCCAAGCCCTGGCGATGCGAACTCTCGCGTCCGTGGGACTGGCGCCGTAATTTGAGGTGGCAGACGACCAGCTCCTGCACGGCCCAGTGCGTCGAAAGCGGAGAGGCAGTCTTAGGGTTTACCTGGACCTACCTTTTTAGGGTTCCTTATTATGATTTCCTTATAAAGGTCCTTAAAAAGGTTGGTTCTTTGGGGTCTAGGTAGGGTTTAGGGGTTTAGGGTTACCCCCTAAACCCCTAAACCTAAACCCTGCCCTTTGGGTTTCAGTTCTCACGGGCACTGAGTTGACATTTCCAAGTGCAGACCATGCGAAGCCCTAGAGGACCTTGACGTCCCCGGTCCTCCACAATCACCCTTTAGAGCATATGTTATTTATTGTATATTATATACTGTGTAATATTCAACCGAGAGTGCCAGCTTCTTTCTCATGGAGGCAGAGACCCTCAAACTACCTGTCAGGAGCGCATTGCGCGGTAAGTCTAGTTTTCGAAGCGATACCTTGACCCCAATGAGGCTTCACATTTTGTGTGTATGGACCGATAGATACCTATAGATAATGGCCCCGAAACATCGATGCCTCTGCACTCAATCGCCTCACAGCAGCATGGCCTCCGCTTCCTGCAGATCAGCTTCCTCTGTGGGCAGATCACCTCTTGCTTGGGTCTGCCGACTGTCCCAGGCTCCGGTTTCAGTGGGGCCTTTCCTCTTGTCATTCTGACTGACAGCTCTCTCACCGTTAATGCTTAAGCCCAACTCTGCAGATACTGCTGTATAGGTTGCATCCTGCTTTTGAGTGATATCTCCCAGCGCGCATCCAGGGTTGTCAGCTCTTTGCTCTCACGGCTACTACAAAGGGTTAGGGTTTAGGGCCTAGGGTTTAGGGCACTGCAAGAGTTGCTATATGGGAAGTGGGCCGTGCGGAACACTTCGACGAAATCTGGCAGTTCTAGTGTGCATTTGGCATAGGGAAGCCTACTTAACGTGTAAAGATAGGCTTGTAGACGGCAGGTAGACAGATATGAGAATATTGGGGCGTAACTAATTTGAAAAGGGTTTTGGGGTTGTTGAGGAGCCCAGAAATAGTATTGGTATTTATTGAGGCCGGATCTTGGCTGCATGAGGAGCTTGCTTGGAGCCGCTGAAATCTGTTTTGCATCTCAGCAACTAGGTATTCAGTTTCTGTTTGGCTGACGCCTTCACACGATGTCCTCCCGTTTGTGTTGGTGGCAGCAGTCTGGAGGTATGGCACTGAACATCCTGAAGATCACGCTGCCCTCGTGCGCGACGGCCGCTGATTGCCAGTTCGACGCCGCCCGCGCATGCTTACCTTCGTCGCGAATGGAGGGCTGCGTGTATGGGACTTGGGACCGTGCATACAAGCATATGTATGCATACGCAAGGTACAGAACAAGTAGTAAAGATATCAACTACAGTTGTCTCTACAAGCAAAGAAGCAATCAATACGTTAGAATGTACGGAGGTACTGTACACCGACATGAACATGTGTGGTGTGTATATATATATATATATATATTTCTTTATTTATTTATACATGTATGTACAGAATGTGTGTATACATGTATATATCAACTATATGTATGTATCTGTCTATTTGTCTCTCTCGCTCTGTCTCCCTCCCTTTATATATATATATATAGCTGGGGGCTGTGTGGTCATGGAACTTGCGAAGCACTCGACAGTTTCGTTTCGGTGTTTGTCCAAAGCCGAGGCCGGCCCGGCCTCTCACAGTTTAGGGGAATAGGGTTTAGGATTTAGGGT